AATAGTATGCACAAAATATCCCATGAATTTTATGCATGCCTATGTGTATATATATTTATATACATGTGTATATACACACACATATTTTACTATTTTATGTATTTAAAGATATATAGCAGCATGCTTTGTTGGTTATCTCTGGGGGTCAGATTACAGGCTGTTTTTTATTTACTTCCCTGAGATTTTTCTATAATTCCTGAATTTTATTCCTTTCTGACCAAATTTGGGGAAAAAAAAGTTTACTGAAAATAAAAAAAAAAATGTATCAAGTTTGGATTGAAAAGTGGAGCCTTCAGCTGAACATAGTTGAGTCTTTGCCATGGACACCAAGTCATTTCCTTTCTTTCAGTGGCATTCATGCCACTGCTGTGCATTTTTCCCAACTGAGATGACACAGTGGAAAGACCATTCCTATACCACGCATTGAGCTATAGGAAAGTGGAATGTCCGTCAGAGCATCTGCAGATCAGGAAATCAAGTCACAGAAAGTATGACTCATGTAAGATTCTAAGCTTATGTCATTATGTCATTTACTTATCAGTTACTATACTTCATATTTACATGCACTGTCATCTCCTCTCTCCGTTCCACACCCCCTATGAAGAAAAAGGCATTTTTAGCAAATGTCCTTTCAATGGAGAAAGGAGAAAGATCAATTTACTCTAAATTAGTTCAGGTTAGATCGTAGTCAGAATCCCTGTGGAGAGTGGAAGCTCTTCTCCGGAATTGGGGTCCCTACTGGATTCAGGTTCAGGGTTGGAACCCACAGCCCAAGCATGACAGGCTGTCAGCAAAGACAAGCTCATCATTAGCATCCAGCAGCCTTTACTTTGCCTTTGTTTTTATCTTCCCTCAACTCCTATCTTTGCTTCTATTTCTCTGAAACCATTAGAGAAATTCCTTTGAAACAAGTGGGTGCCTGACTCATTGCCTATTTCCTCTGTTTTCCACCCAAGTGGTAAACAATGGGCTCTATTCAAATGTGGACTGTCTGTGCGCTGGGAACTTGCGTGCAGACAAAGCTCCTTGTCACAGGGCAGATTGCCAGCCCCGAGCTCTCTTCTGCTCACCTCCTGGGCTCTGCTTTATAAGGGCCACTTGACAAAATGCAATGTATTCTCATGGTCCTGAGTTCTCTGTCTCCTTTTCCATCCAGCCCCCAAAGGAATACTACCCTAAATCCTCAAGTTAATGTGTTTGAGAACAGCCTCTCAAAAGATACTAGAAAGAATGACAGGAGGTAGCTCAGGCCCCAGTCATATGGACATCAGGTTTTATTTACAATCGTATTAATCTGTGTCTTAACTCCTCCCAAGTTATTTTGTCTGTAGATGGTGGTTGCCAGGGAAGGCAGTCCTGCAAAGTTAGGGACAAGGCAGGTGTGGGAAATACAGAAGGCTAGCCTAAGACAAAGGTGATGGAACACAGTAGCAGGAATCCAGACTATGGAACAAGAGGAACAGGACAAAGTTTCAAACTCAAAAGGAGCAGATAAGATAATAAGAACTGAACCCAGATGGTGGAGCAGTTATCAAGGCAAGAGAGAGAGAGGGGGGGGGGGAGGGAGAGCATGCTTGCACGTGCTTGAAGCACACCCCCAGTGATGCATAGGAGTCACAGGAGGAGTTTTGCAGATTGTGTAGATCCTCCCTTCCCAAGAATTTTATGTTTTCTGAAGAACACTACCAGCTTCCCTCCACCATCTTAAAATGGCTAGGAAAAAAGTGAATGTAAGGAGAAGGTAAGAGAAACAAATAAATATTAAATAATTGTGATATTCCAGTTATATTAGTATATTAGGTCCACTTACTTTTTTTTTTTTGAGACAGAGTCTTGCTCTGTCATTCTGGTACAATACAGTGGCATCACTGTAGTTGACTGCAACCTCAAACTTCTGGGCTCAGACTCTCAGGTAGCTGGTACTATAGACATTCGCCAGATGCCTATAATGTCTGGATAATTTTTTTTTATTTTTAGTAGAGACAGGGTCTCACTCGTGCTCAGGCTGGTCTCAAACTCCTGACCTTAGGCGATTCTCCTGCCTCAGCTTGCCAGAGTGCTAGGATTACAGGAGTGAGCCACCACGCCTGGCCAGGTACATTTACTTTTTAAAATCACTTCAACAACCACATAAGATTGTGGTTCTTATTCCTATTTTTTAAAATGATGGGACAACTACAGCCTACAGAGTTTAAATGACTTGCCCACAGTCACAAAACTGGCAGGATAGCACTAAGATTTGAAATCAAGTGATGTGACTAAACAAAATGAGAGAATTCATTCCTTCTTTGACAAAAAACTCATTCCCTAATGACATCCAAACACCAAGCCCTCTAGACACTCCTTCAATATCACTTAAATCTATCCTCTTCTATCCACCCCTACTCTCCCCGACTCACAGCTAGCCGACATTTCCCCAAAGCCTCCCAACTGACTTTCCTTCTCTGCCATCTTCCCCTCTCTCCCCCGTCTCTTCCCTCCTTCCTTTCTTCCTTCCTTCCTTCCTTCTTTCAACATAAATTTGGTCAACTCCAGCCTATTTAAAACTCTTCAGTGACTTCCTACTGACCAAATACAGTCCTGCCTACCCACTGACCCCCCCCCCTCACTTCAACCACATTGGACTTCTTTAATTTCCTCAAAACTGTAAATTGTATCTGAGCTTGGGGCTTTCCCATGTGCTGTTTGTTTAATGTGGAACACTCCCTCCTCCTCCTCTTTACTTAGCAAGTCTCAAAATGTGGGGGCTCACTCTTAAAAATTAAGAACCCCAAAAACCTTTTTGAAAAAAAAATGTGGATGGTATCTATTGATATTCACATGTTGTAAGTTAAAACAAGGAAATTTTAAAATATTTAGTTCAGTTAAAAATGACACAGTAAACTGAATACACCTTAACATAAATAACATTTTATGAAAAATAGCCAAATTTTTTTCAAAACCAAAACTACATCAGTGAGACTACTGACTCTGTTTTACATTTTTGTAAATCTTGCCAATGTCTGGCTTACTAGAAGATAAATGGTTTCCCATGTCTGCTTCTGCATTCAATCTGTTGTGATATCACAGGTCATGTAGCCTCTGTAAAACTCCACTGTACTCTGGTAACGGAATAAGAGTGAAAAGGCAAATAACTTCTTAGTATTATTATGAAAATAGTTTTGCCACCTGAATCCCCTAAAAGCCCCTCAGGCAGGAACCTCGAGAAATCCAAAGCTATACTTTGGGAACTCCTACTTACTCTGTATATCTTGTCTTAAAGTTCAAATTTGCCAAGGGGTCTTCTCTGACCTCAAAGAATAGGTCGAGTCCCCTTGCTATATGGTCCTGTAACACCCTCTCCCTCTCAGTCACAACACTCTTCATACCTACAACGTAATCAGTAATTTGCATAAGGAGAGGGACCATGTCAGCTTTGTTCACAGTGGATCTCCAGTGCTCAGCACACATAGCAGGGACGCGGAAAACCTTTGTGGGAGGAATGAGGAGATAAAGAAAGGGAGAAAGAGAAGGAGAGAGGTCATGAGACACAGAGAGACAACTTCCTGACAATTGCTGCATTCCTTTGGCAGGATGGATGCAGAGACATCACATCCTCCAGCAGCCTGCTGCAGCTCTGGGTCTCACTTCCCTCTGAAAGAGGCTGGAGAGAGAGGTGGGTCACTGACTAGAGTGAGGAGGCTGAGCTGGGACAGTAGAGAATAAAGGTCAGGAGTGCATGTGCTGGATTCTCCCGTGAAGGCAATCATTCAATCACATGTACTGAGCATCTGCAGTTTGCCAGGCGTTCTTCTAGGCACTTGGGGATACATCAATGAACAAAACAGAGACAAAATTCTGGCCTCAAGGAGCTTACATGTAGACATGAACTCTACCCCAGGTTCCACCAGTTGACAAATGGGTTGCCTTGTACTAGTTATTTAATCTCCCTATGCTTTATTTTTTCTCATCTGTAAATTGTGAAGGAGGCTTGAAAGTTTCTTGGTGAGAACTGAATGAAATGTACCCAATAGGGAATCAGGCACCCAGTAGGTGTTTAATAAATGGAAATCTTTCTGGTGGCAACTCTTACTCTAAAATTGATTTTTTTCATATACAGAAATTATTCTATAGACCGGAATCCAGGCATGCACAGGATATCACTTGGGTAGTTGGTGGGGAGGGTGTGTCTTTAGGGTCTTCATAGAACTCAGGAGGGCTGCATGTCACTTTTTCTGTAAATAAATATCACCTTTAGCTCCCTCTATTCTTCAGAAAATGCCTGGATATTTTACATTGTTCCATAATATTGTAGAATAAAACCATACAAGGCACTTAAGCAATGGGGTGTTTCCAAACAGACTTTCCCAGGGACTGACTCTTACAATTATGCCAAGCATGTAAGATATTCATAGCCAACTATTAATGTTTGTAATTGACCACCTAGTCACATGCGTTTATCATGTATCATAGGGTTACTGAGGTTTCCCACTCCACCTTCTTGACTGAGTTTGGCTTGAACTTTCTAAGAAAGTCATTCTACCTTTGAAGCAAGATTACCAAGATAGAGAAAAAAAAAATGAGTTTCTATCTTTGAGTTTTTATTTCTCTTACCATCTACTTTTTGTGACTTCTCTATAGTTAATACCACAGTAGAGAAGTGGTGGGTAGAGGAAGAAAGAAAGGGAGATGGTCTTATCGGCTGATTTTATGTGTTACCAGTCTGGTAAAAACATTTGGAGTTAGAGAGCATCCAAACATGAATAAAGTTTGGGAATTACTTGCATGAATTTAATTTCCTCGGATTACCCCCATTGTTCCTCAGCAGGAAATATCCGTGAGTCAACTATCCAGAATCATAGTTATTATTCAAGTGATGTGGGTTAGAAAGGAGATTTGCTGCTATGGCAAACCTCACTGACGACTTAGACGGTTCTTCAAGTTAAAGAGCAGAAGGATGTCTGGAGTGACTGAAACACATATGGCTTCAGAGTGTGTCAAGAAGACCTGAAAGATCTCACATGGAAGTGAAATTCATTACTGGCAAGCACAGTGACAGGAGACCCCAGAGGGCTGAGCCGCAAAGAATTTGCAGAGCTTTGCGGCTAACTCTGTGGCCTAGTTTGATCTTGAGGTCATTGTCTTGGATAAACCTCTCAGATCTGTTCCTGTACTTAAGAGCCACTCGACACGTGACTGAGCTCTCTGTCAGGCTCCTTTACATCGACCTGTCAGAACTGACTTTCAGAGAACATAGACAGCACATCAAATCGTCCAACAGATGTCCCTTTCAAATAAGCTGGAGCAGAACCAACTATACGGAGAAGTCATAAACAAGGAAACAGGCAACCCAGTGATTTTCAGTGGCTTGGCATAGCTCTTTGTACAGAACACTCAGCCTCCTGGGTGGAACGTGAGTTCTACAGAGTGTGCATGCAATAGGCAAGTTGACTCTTGCCCCACCCAGGCTCATGCTGCTTGACAGGAGAGACAGAGGGATACTTTGGAGTCCAAACTCTTCATCATCTCCATGAAGTGTTCCTCAGTTTCCCAGCATTAAGAAGTAACAAGTTTATACTGGCATAAAAGGATTTAGGGGAGAGAAACCCAGCTTCCAGCCCCATTTCTGTCAGTGATTCACTCACTGTGGGGGGGGGGGGAGGGCAGTGGCCAGAATTGTCTGGTTCCTGCTTCTGATTTCCCTCTTCACTGGCATCAGAGGATTGCACTGCAGGAAAACTAATATGTAGCTGAGCTCCAAGTGCTAAATAAGAGCATTTCATGTTCATTCCAGGCCACCAAGAGGTTTAGGGTCACTGAGTCACAGACTATAAATTTGGACATTTGATGATTTTTGCAGGTGACTGGGTGAACAAAGGAAAACCCAGGAGGCACATAAAGGTGGAAACCAGTACTTCTTATTTGAATTATTTAACATGCCTCACTGATGGTTATGAATATAAAAGAACTCTAGGTCCTTCAATAAGATGAAATAAAGTTACTGAGTTTAGTTTTTGACCTACTTTAGAACAGGAAACATGCTCACTAATATTTACAAGGTACTTTGAGGTACCAAACAAAAAGCTCAATTTATTGGCAAGATATTTTTGTTGATGTTGTTTTGTTGTTCATATGGGCAAGCAATTAATGCTCTTTAGAAAATCAAATCACCAATTCAATCACTGCCTACTCTTGAATTAATTTTTATTCTAGCAACAGCCCAGAATTTATTCAAAACTCCCTATGCTAGACATCAGGAGTAAAAAATCAATTAGGTAAAAATTTCCTGGCTTTAAAAAGTCCTTAGCATTATTTAAACATTTTTATTACAGGTGTATAATGACCAGGTCACTTAGCTGAAATCAAGGATTCAAGTGAGACTTTGCAGAGGTGATTTGGCTGAACTTAGTCTTAATGGATATGAGGATAAGTATACACATTTTTTTAAAATTACCCAGAATGTAGTGCCCACTGAAATGAGTAAGCCTCCTTCACATGTGTAGCTTCTAAGTGTCCAACTTTTGAACTTATTTTTTATTTGATTCAGCTCATTGTTTAATTTCTGGCCAACGGCTCATCTTCAGCTGAATATCAAGCTCAACAACTTCTTCTTAGATCTAGATCTAGAGCAGAATGTTGAACAGGACAAGGCTGAAGGCAGAAGCCTTAGAAACTCCTAGTCAGGATTCCATTAATCTCTTAATAGCTGCTTACTATTGCAGTCAGGGTTAATTCTCTTCTCGTCCAACTGTGACACTTTAGCTCACTTTCAATTCAAAGGAGACTTTAAGAGTTATTGAAGTTGGACTTTCCACATTCTTATACTTGGTGACACTGTTCATGCAATGGCTCAATATTTCCTGATTTCTTGGAATCAGCACAAGCCACAAACCGAATCCACAAATTGGAATTCATAAGTAATGAACTTGTAGCATAACTTTATTAGAATAGGAATGATGTTGCAAAATGAAGGAAGAGAAAGATCTACATCTTACATGTCCAAATCCCTGTGCTAAGCACTTTATGTATATTTAGTCATTCAAACTCCAAAGTAGTTACCACCATTCTACTCTCTACTTCTACAAATTTGACTTTTTTAGATTCCACGTGTAAGTAAAACCATATGGTATTTGTCTCTCTGTGCCTGACTTATTTCACTTAACATAATGTCCTCTAGGTTTATCTATGTTGTTTCAAATGACAGAATTTCCTGGGTTTTTTAAAAGCCTAAATAGTATTTCATCTTGTGTATACACCACATTATAAAAACCTGTTTATCAGCTGATGGACACTTAGGTTGATACCATATCTCAGCTGTGGGGAATAATGTTGCAATGACATCTCTTCAACATACTAATTTCAGTTCCATTGAGTATATAGCCACAAGTGGCTATGGGGGTGGGAAGGTTTGGACAGAGAAAGGGGAGACATGGGTCAATGGATACAAAGTCTCAGGTCAACAGGGGGACTAAGTTCTGGTGTTCTGTTGCACAGCACAATGACTACAGTGAATAATAATGTGTATTTCAAAATAGCTAAAAAAGGGATTTTAAATGTCACTACAAAGAAATGATAAATTATTTGAGGTGATGAATATGCTGATTAGTCTGATTTGATCATTCCACAATGTATACATGTATTAAAAAATCACATTGTATCCCATAAATATACACAATTATTTGTCAATCAAAAATAAAACTTTTTTTAATATAGTTATCAATATCTCTATTTTACTGAAAAAACCTAAAGAGATTACAGGATTTTCCTGAGCTAGGCACCCACAGGCAATATGAGGCCAAATGTTCTTTCCATGATGTCCACCCTCTCCCCAGCTAAGACTGCTCACCTGCTGCTTCCTCACTCAGCTCAAGTTCCCATTACCCTTCACTAGTGTTCAAACCAAGGAGAAATCATGCAATGAATGATCACACTTGACCTAGGACTTTTATAGAGTTTTGAATTAAAGAAAATGTGACTTGGATGGAAAACCCCTAAATGATTTTTTCTTAAATAAGCATTCAAAATTGACCTTGTTGTTACTTAATCTTCACATATCTATATGCTATGAACTGAATCACGTCCCCCAAAATTCAAATGTTGAAGCCCTAACACACACACCTGCTGCCATGTGACCGTGTTTGGAGACGGGGCTTTTATTTAGAGGTAGGGCATTTAAGTTAATTAAGGTTAAATGAGGTCATTGTCATTGGGGTGGATCTCTAATCCAATAGGATTGGTGGGTTTATAAGAAGAGAAAGAGAAAGGTGTGTGTGTGTGTGTGTGTGTGTGTGTGTGTGTGTGTGTGTCATATGAGGACACAGTAAGAAGACAGTAGTGCAGGGGCCAGGAAGAAGGCCCTCACTAGAATCTGATCATGCTGACATCCTGATTCTGGACTTTCAGTCTCCAGAACTGTGAGAAAATAAATTTCTGTTGCTTAAACCTGTGGTCTCCAACCCCTGTGCTGTGGCCCAGTAACGGTCTGTGGCCTGTTAGGAAACAGGCTGCCCATCACCGCCCGAGCTCTGCACCAGCCTACCCCCACCCATGACACCACACCCCACCCACCCCTATCTGTGGAAAAATTGTCTTCCATGAAACCGGTCCCTGGTGCCTAAAAGGTTGGGGATGACTGGTAAGCTACCCAGTCCATGATATTTTGTTATGGCAACCCAAGCAGACTAACATATCCTGTAAGCTATAGACCCCACCAGAAAGGAATTAGGACCAATTGTGAGAACAATATATGAGATTCGAAGGGGTCAGTAGGGCACGTGGGGAGTTAAGTCAGTTATTCCAGGGTTTTACTTGCTAAATTCCAGTACATAGCTCCAACCGCTGTGGCGTATAGAACATTTTCTATATTTTTCTATATTTTCTATATTTCCACAAGAATGCCACAGCTTACCATTCTAACAGGATCAGGGAATAAAGAGTGAGCAAATCAGGGCGTGCGCTGGTACTATACTGGACAAATGGGCATGACTCTGTGGTTAGCGGGACAGGGCACCATCTGTTTCTGACACACAAGTGCTAATCCTGTTTATTGTGTTCCGTGGGAATAGCCACAGATGTTTCCATAGCAGGTGTGTTTGCGTCCCCCACAGTTTCCCCAGACAGTTTCCCCATCACACACAGTGCTCTCGCTGAGTCGCCTTTTCTACTCGGGCAGAGTTAAGTGGAGAAATGAGACAACTGCACAGATAATTTAATTCAGAGGGGAAATAAATGATACTACTTGGTTGTTTCTGGGGTGCTTCAGTGTATGTTTGACAGGCAGTGGGAAAATAGGGAAACTACCAAATGCTGGAGACAGCACATTTCTTGAATCTTTCGTAACGGTTGAATTCTTTCACTCCTTTTTGTGTGATTCTTGAGTAATAGACTCAGGACAGGCTAACATGCAGTATTGTCCCTGAACAATGGATCAGCAGGCTGGGCTTGAAAGAGAAGACAGTGTGATGCCAATGAACATATTATTGAGTTCAACATGTCGAGTTATTGAACATGTAATTATTAAATATGAATTATTCAACATATAATGAACTCAAACTTGACTACTAAATTCACAATCTTATATTAAGTCTTTAACCTATTTACTCCCATACATTCTACCAAAGATTTTCTGTAACTAATTTTTTTCATGAACTCAGTGAAAAATACTGGCAATATTCAATTTCTGCAGGCTCGCTCACACATGAACCAATTTTTTTTGTTGTTTCAAGTCACTAATCGGTTCCATGATGGCAAATCATGGCAAATCCAGCAGAGGATTAGATGTTCTAAACAAATCCTAAGCTCCCCACACCTGTCAGTATGTTGCACTTTATGAGCACCAAATATTTTGAAGGACAATTTAAGAATGAAAAATGATTAGCTTGTAACCATTTATTATATCTTAAGTTTCTTTCTCTATGGAATACTTCTTACAGCAACAGCAGGCATCATAACCATTTTCTTACTTTATAAAAATATGGGCTTATATTTTGTCATTGATCATGCAAATGGACATCATTTTTAGCACACTTTATTCTTTGAAGA